ATTACCTCCAACTAATCCTGATGTCATTCGAATTACACAAAACATAGAGCGTGTCTTGTCAAAACAAAAATAGAGTTGCATTGTTTTTTCTCTATAAATAAGACTTCGATAATGTTGGAATCTGATGTTCAGACTCATAGAACACTAGTAGTAATATGGAATGACAAGAAAACGAAGTGAGAGATGGAGATGAATAGAGAATCACATCATCGAACCCGCTCCCACACCCACATCCTTGATTGTGAATAATCGTATGATCCTCTATTCATTTACGTTCTACTTACACCCGGAACACTGTGGGTGTGGGTTAAAACAGCCTATCAACATTTTCTAGCAGTAAGTTAAAGCGATCAAGGCTGATATGACATATTCAGTAGTATTCATCATTTATTGAATATGATCATAGCATTTCAAAGATAACCTGTATAAAAAAAAACGCCATGTAAATTGAATTTTCATTTTGGAGAAACCATCTATAACTCTAGTGTGTAATGTGCAGATCAAGTCATGAGTAGAAATTTCTCAAAGTCAACTTGGATAATGATTTTTATGCCAGATAGCGATGATAGGGGACCATATACATAGGCAAAAATCGAAGAACTGGTTAGCAAGTATTGAAATCATAATGTCATATATCATACTATCGTTTTCATCTAGAATAATATTATGACTGAATGTGGAGAAATCAAATTGCTTGTAGATATGGGTATTCTAATGGTGTCAGGTAGTTACATTATGAACTAAAGAATAATGAACTAATTAGAAACCGAATGAAACCGAATTTTACTGGTCGGATTAGATTTATAATATATGATATGCTAAGAATTGACTATATCATTACAAATCCTTCGATCCTATACAAGTACCAAATAATGGGTAAAAATACTAGTTGTTTGTCAAGAAAAAAACAATACTTCATTTTACTCGAAATTTCATACTAATTAAAAATATATAATTCATTTTTCAAAATATTTAGGAAAAAAATCGCCTTGCTTGTACTTGTTCTTTGGTTCGACAAGCTTCTTCCTCATACCGTAATACATATCGGTGATGGTCTTAACTCAAAACTAATCCAGATTCAAAGAAATTCAGTATATAATGAATATGACAATATCATTTTGATCAAAAAGTTAAGCTATGTTCGTACTTGATTCAGAGAAAATAAGTCGGTCACTACAGAAAATGATTTCGATATGTGTTATTGTTGTTGTTGTTGTCAGTAAAAAAAACGACAGTGCATAAAACAACATTATTTTTTTATTTGTGACTAACTGTCAACAATTTAATTCAATGGGAAAGAGAGAGAAAGGAAACATTGACAGCTGTGGCTGTGGTTGTTGCGGAAGAGAATACTCACACCTACATATACCCTTAAAATTTAAAAGCCACGGGTTTGAGAAAAAAGTATTTCATATTTCATAATTTCATGATATTAATATGAGTAAAAATATTGATTATAATGACGATATTAAGTGTATTATTAAATCAACATTGCTATATTTGTTGTAAATAGCACGCTGTATTGATCAATATCAAATTATTAGCATAAAAATTCAGTAAATTCACCGAGTGAAAGAGAACACTTTGATTATTTTACTACGAAAAAAATCAAAATATACCTATTAGAATGATGTAAAGCAAAGAGTAGAATGTTTTATTATCGCCATAGGCAATGAAGAACAGAATTTAGTACTTGTTTTTTCTTAGATAAAAAAGCAAATGTTTAAAAATGAGTCACAAACAGAAGTAAAATGAAAAGAAATATGATTACATTTAATTTTTTTTTCTAGGGATATTTTAGTTCTCATTTTATAATGAACAAGATTCGTTTCATTCTAATAACATATGTTATAAAACAATTGTTTATAATAAGTTGATTAGAAAATAATATATTTATCTTTGAAATTAAAGAGAAAAAGAAGTTACATCTGACAAATGCAGATTAAAACAGATAAAACGTCGATAAATATTAATGAATATTTTTCTGATTAAAAATTCAAAATAACAAAAGTTGAAAATTTTATTTATTTAGTTTCTTCACTTAAAGCATATTCATTTGATATATTTAAAGATGTATTGTTATGTTGATTATCAGCTTCGATTGATATTCGCGTTGTAGAAAGCGATTCTCGTTTCATACATTTTAATTCTTTTACATCGTTCAAAGCTGCTGTTCGAGATCCATTCATTTTGTTCTCTTTCATCTGAGCCAATCGAGATTCGAAGCTGTTATGTTCATTACATATGTGTATTAATAAATTTTTGTAATTTTCTTGTAGTTCTTTACTTTTTGTTGATGGATCAGAACAACACAAATATATAGTTTGTTGAAATTGATCATTAGGTGAAATAGCTTCATATAAACATTGAGAAGATCGTACGAGCAAAATGTTTTGATCGATAGTTGATGGTTGATGATGTTTGTCAGGATCAAAAAATACGGTAGAAGACATTATTGTTATTCGAAAGAATATCTATTCACTTTTACTTGGTGATAATAACAAGTCAAAGAGACCCATATATATATATATTATGTCGATACACATTGAAAATGAATAGAAAAGGATATACATAAATTATGCTTCATCAATTCGCAAAAATACCAGTTCTAAGAAAACCAAATAAGTAGATGAAGCATGATGTATTTCGAGTAGTATTGAGTCATAAATGTATTTGTATTAAATCATGGTTTCCAACATAGGATATGTATTGTCATTTTGATAAAAAAAAATAGTTTTTTTTGTATTCTTTTCCAGTTGTCATCAATAACTAAATGTGTCATAACTTGAAATCCTATCATGGTTGTATAGAATATTCAATTAACCATTGCCCAATCTGTTGGATATGTCTTGAGTATATAGAATTGCACTCGATAGGCTTTTTTTCCTATACGACTTAGATTAGTATGAATCCTTCTTCATTTTTTTCCGCATTTAACAATTGAAGCACCTGAATCATGAGTCATACTATTCGATTGATGACTACAGTAATTACTTAAGAATTTTATTTGATCACTATCTCAGTTTTCATGGTTTATTTCATCAGCTTTTTTTCTTCTGTCAGTTTTGTGTGTAGGTGTAGTGATGAAACAGGTATGCCATAGGTGAATAGAAGATCACATCCACATCCTCAAGTTTTCTCAAGTAAAGCATGAATTGCGGAAGGTGTTTACAGGAGGAATTGTGCCAATATCGTCATGTGCAATCCTTTTTTATCTGCTATGATGATTGTTCCGTGTTTCACTCTTCTTCGTCAAAATAAAATTTTCAGCTGTTAGTTCCAATCTCACTAACTAAGGATATAATAAACTGCATTGTATGTAAACAAGTGTATTTACTGATGCTACAATAAAGCTATAAAATATATCAAAAGTAGTTAAATCAATATAAATTTATCATTACTGTAGTATTAAATTATAATACGCCTTGTTCACGTAACGCGATACTTCGCTGATTAAGTTTCGAAAAAAAATTTTTTTTCGAGTTAAATAGATTTGAATATGTTACTAGACGCCCCTTTTAACGCTGATTACGAATTTGATATTTATTTTGTAAAAAAATCAGATTTTCCCATAGAAAATCGTATTTTGAATTTTCTAACCAAGAAAGTTTTTCAAAAAAATGCCGAGAAGTATACCATTCGATGCAGAATTTCATTCTCTACAAAACGGGCTATTTAGTTTTGACTTTGGTAGCTGGGGCACCTTGTAGACTCTTATATAGTTTTCCACTTAGTGTTCAGTTTTTGAGTTCCCATATCGATGAATCAATCTGATTGTTTCGTAGAACGCTTTGCTACATAGAAAAGACTAATCCTTACAACAATCAAATCATTCTGACCATGTTAAGTACCACAAAAATGGCTGACAAAACAATTTGTCACATCGTTATGTTTGTTTTGTTGCATTTTTTACATAAAGAAAAGATGGTAGGACAATTTTTTTACCATTGTGAAGCTCATTAAAAGCTCTACAAAATTTGTCCTTGCGGCATTTTATTTGAACAGCGACTTTTGCAGGAAATCACAGCTTAAGGAGAAACACTTCAAATGTAGAGGCCTTTTATGTGACTCCGTTACGCTATCAAAAAATCTTTTCAAAGACTCGAGAGGTCGACAGAAACTATTCATTTTTATAGCATAAATAGAGCATGACAAGCTGCGTCGAATGGTGCTTGAACGAACTTTCTAGCTCCTAAAGTTCTTGAGATAACTGAAAAATAGTATGTAAAAAACGTAACACTGTTACGCTTGGACAAGCCAAATAGTACTTTTCAACGAAAGGATTGTATACTGTTAAGAATTACTTACAGATCAAAAATGGTTGGAAGTTTTTACTAAAAAAGAATTTTTCAAAAAAAAAGTCGATTCATCGTAACAGAATATTCAAGTTTTGTGAGGTCTAATAATTGAATCATTGTGAGCAATGAAATCATATTTTTTAAATAAAGTCATAGTAATTTTAATTGGTAACAATATAGAATTGAATGCACTTCAAACTAATAATGTATATGCATAAGCTAAATCAATCTAATGATTTTTTTCTCAATATTTTTCTTCAAACTGATCATCAATTTTTAGAATTTAACTTGTCCTAAACCTATCTTTATATGCGCATCCGTTGTCTATTGAAATTGACCTATAGATTAAATATATTTGTACACGAATAATTAGGTCAAATACAATCGTTAACGAATACTTCAATAGCATTCATTTGTGAATAGATGGATAAAAGACATTTATATGGCAATATTTCATTTAATTCTATACTCTACAACTTAAACTTATGTCAATCATACTCATGCATTGGTGAATAATAAATGCAAGAAGAGTGCCGTAAAAGCTACTTTGTTTATTCATTAAATGTTTTTCACTCAACGAAAAAAGAAAACAAAAAAAAAGTAAAGGCGTACTTACTCCATGCATAAATATGGTTAAAAAACAGAATCAACCATTTTGCTTCGTTTTTTTTTAATATTCAATGTTAAAATAAAATAAATGGTATGCATCGTCATAATCAAAATAACGATTATAGAAATTATTCTTTTATACCTCCATCAAGTTCATCATCTTCACGAAATGCTCATTATCAATATTATGATCGTCGTTTACGTACTCGACAAACTCTATATTCAAATGCAACACCTATTCCGACATATTCTACACCACGTCCTCAACATCAATATCAACCATCATCAACAACAACAACAACAACAACAACAACGATTTCTGATTTAGCTGAACCAATATCAGTATTTCACAATATAGAACCTTCTAAATATCATCGATCGTCTATAACATCTCTTCCAATAACATATAAACCACCAAATCCAAGTCGACAGTCATCAATTGTTGATAATCGTCTTGCTACAGCTAGTGTTATGCGTGAACATTTATTAAAAGATATTCAACGAAATATTAGTGAGATTGATCAAGAATTATCTTCATTAAAAAAACGACCTTCAATTTCACAATATATTCCACCACGTCTTTCACCTATAGTAGATGTACGACAAACATCAAGTCAGAAAAAAACTCGGTTACCAAATGATGACAAACAAATTTGGCCAGATAAACCTAAACGAGTTTATCAAGTTGTACCACGTATAACAAGTGAAGCAAAAAAAACATCACAACAATCAACACCAAAATTATCTGAACAAAGTATTTCAAATTCATTTATTGGACAATATCATTATGGACCAGAAGTCGAAGAAATTGAAATTCGTGAAAATGATCCTGAAAATTCTGATCTTAAATCAACTTTGGATGAAATATCTCGATTTAATTTTCATGAAATATTTTCTCTAGAACAATTTTATCGTCAACAATCTGATTTACCAGAAAATCGTGCATTAATTTTCGTTCCACAATATGTTGATAATTATGATATTAAAATAAATGAATCAACAGAAGAATTTCAAGAAAAAACTCCAATTGATACAAATTTTGCTCGATCATCAACTGTTACATCTCTACATGATTTAGCATCATCAAATAAATTAAATATTCAAGATTTTCAATTACTTATGCAAATTGCACCTGAACCAAAAATTGAAATTTCATCTGAAAATGTTGTTAATTCTCATGAAATATCCAATCAAGTCGAAGAAAATTTAAATAATACAATACTTTCTAAACCTGTTAAACATTCTCGTCTATCAATAAGAACTCAAGAAACACTTTCTCTTTCTTCACAAACAATGAAAAATGCCGAAAATACTACTGATTTTGATATGAATTATTTTTTTAGTGATTTTGGAAATGAATATGAAGGTGAAGAAGATCTTATATCAATTGATCCTTATCATTTTGCACCACCAACAGCATCTGAAATTATACCTGATGATAACAAAAGTAATATTTTAATTCGACAATCTCAAACATCACTACCAAATTCGCATGCATCAGAACAGCAACAAACAATTGAAAATAATAATCAATATATTAAAGAAACAGAAAAGAAAAAAATCGATGCAACAACGGAACACATTGTTACACCGATTTCAACATCACAATCAACCAAAATGCTTCCAGTTTCAATTGATGACGACACACAAACTCAGTCTGTTAGAAATAACAATAATAGTAACGAACATCAACAGCAAATATTCACAACATCGTTAAATATGAATACAAATGAACAATCTCAAGAAAATAAATTAAATAATTTATTAACAGATCTTCATGCATCTTCATCGAAGTTCGAACAAGAAACAACAAATAAAACTACATCAAAAAATATAAGTCCGACTCATTCAAGGCCAAGGTCAATAAGTAATAAATCTCATTCAAGTCGACAACGATCATCTTCTTTACATAATTCAACTAAAAATCCATCGAAAAATATTCTTTCTCAAGAACAATCATTTACATCTATTCCTAATATTTCTGAAATATCAACAAAACAAACAGAACCTGTACTTGATAATGAACAACAAACATCAAATGAATCACGTCGTAGTTCAGCTATTCCGGTTGTACTTTATTCACCTGATTCTGATAATATTCCAGTATCAACATCAAGAACAGCATCACCTGAAAGAAGAAATTCAATTCCTTCACTTAATCAAAATATACTTTTTACATCAACAGATATTATAAATTTTGAAGATTCAAATACAGAAAATCTTCAAACTGTATCATCACAACAGCCAAATGTAGTAGAACATGAAGAACTTAGCCATTCGATAAATTCTTTATCAGTACAAGAAATTCAACAAAATAATCAATCACATGAACTTCAAGATGAATTATTATCAAATGAAAATCAAGATGAAATTATCAATCAACATCTTTCACCACCTATATCAATACATGAACAAGAAAATAATCGATTAAAATCAGTTTCACCATTAACTATGGAAACAAAAAAAATTGAAGATAATGATAATAATGATGATTTACATTTGCCATCTCTTTCTCCTCGTCATAGTAATGGATCCAATACTAATCTAACATCTGTTGAACAAGAAGATATATTTCGACAAACAATATCTCCTGATTATATTAATAATCAATTAGAAAAACCAACATCACCATTATTAGAACCAAAATTAATTGTTGAAGATCAATCTAAACATGAAGACAAACATTCATCATCTCCAATACTTGAAGATGAAAGTTTACCATTAATTACAGCAAGTCAACGACGTTCAAAATTATCTCTTTTAGTACATCGACCAAAACAACGACAGAAAAAACCCATTCATGATCAATTAGTACAAACACATGTAGGTATGTTTTAAACAAGATAAATAGTGATAATAATTTGGATCATTTTAGATTGAAGATTCATCTACAACAAATACAAATCAAAAATCAAAAAAACAAGAACATCATGTATCAAGTTTTGATAATATTTCACATGTTCAAATAAAAGAACATCATCCTTTAAAAAATTGGCGTGAACGTATTCATGGTATTTTAACAAAAAAAGTTTGTAGCAAAAAAAAAAAAATTATTTCTGTTTTTTCATTTAATTTTAAATTGATCATTTCATATTTAGCATTTACCGAATGATAAATATTCACATGTAAAATCACGTGTTAATTCCTTTGGTAATTTTGAATATCAATCCAAAAGATTTGTAATTTTTCCAAAGAAAAAATTACATAAAAAAATATTGTCCGATCAACAAATTGTTCGTCAAGAAGATAAATTTAAAAATAATAAAAATCAATCTGAAGAAAATATTCCTTCAGTAAAATTAATTAAATTAAATAAATCTATTTTAATGTAGAATATTTTTTTTCCAGTCATTGTCACCACAGTTATTCGGACGACTTTGGTGTCTACCTGATGGAAAACCAAAAATTTTTCATGAACCACTTCGATGGAATGTACAATCAAAAATTAAATCCTATTCACTCGAAAATCTTCATCATAAACCACATCAAAGTCATTTTAAAGTAAATTTTCACGAAATTCTTTTTTTTTCTCTCTCATTCAATTAACACATGAATTAAAACAAAAAACCTTAGGTCTTTAATGAAAAACCTAAATGGAATAGTGAATCTAAATTAGCTGAAATTGTAAAAATTAGTCCACGTCGTCAAATTCTCATGAAAACTGTTACATTATTAACAATGCCTGAGGACAATGATCCATATATTCATCAACAAGAATCTCAAATTGAAACAAAGGTAAATTAATCTTTCTGATACAATGTCTATTAGAGAGCAGATATACAATTAATTTTCATGACAGTGTGAATGTAAAATTTCCTATGCAATTATTTTGAATCTAAACAAATTTTTCTTTTAGTTAATATAAGTCTCGTAATACTAAACTGATGTTCGATTCAAGTATTTATTGCTGAAATCGAATAAACTTCGATCTGCGCTATTAATCGAGCCGAATATTGTAAAGTCATGTATAAATCAATGTCAAAAAACAAGTGTAAAATAATAAACTCTTATGTTCGTTTATTATCATTGTCATAAATCATTTTCAGATTTACAAGCGTAATTCACTTTTTCACAAAATCTTTCTATTTATAATCTCGAGCAATGATATATGCACGAAGGATATTCCTAGGCGTAGAGTTTATTATTATCGTGTTATGTTTAAAACTTGCAATGATAAATCTTTCACCTATAAAGATGGTAATAGACGAAGATGAAGGTTTAATTTTTAGAAAACTAGCTACGAAAGAATAACTAATAATAAAGAGAAAAGCTGTTGATCCAACTGTTGGCTATACTTTTCGTTTTTTGACTAAAATGTGAACTTTTCTCGTTTTCTTCGGCCTACCGAAACAGTTCGATATGATCAATTTGTTCTAAAAACAAGTGATAAACTTCAATAAAAAGTTCGCGTAGTCTCAAAAATTGGTCTGTATTAAATAATCTTCAACCATAATCTATATCAAATACTGATCACAATATTCCTGTTCTAATACTTGGTTAGTATATATATGAGGAGTTCAAGAACTGTTTATTGGCTGACCTTCTCTGTTCAGAGCTACAGCTAGTATCAATAAAATATGATTACTAGTGGCATTCTTCAACTGACTATAAGGTCATTCTAAAAATAATATTGATCTTTTATTTTAAATATTCTTTATCATCATTTTCTGAAAGTAAAAAATTAATTATGTTTATATTAAATTAGATTTTCGATATTAATTCTAATGGTAAACCACAATATTATGTAGATGATATATTTTTTGATTCTAAACAATCGACTAAATTAGTAAGCTTATGAATATATTAATTAAAATGAATAAAATTTATTTGAATTTCTTTCAAAGATTATTCATAAAAAACTTTCATGGAAAAAAAAATCTAAATTAAAAAATATGATCTGGGAAAATAAAGATTATCAACCAAAACAATCTCAAGTTAAAGTAAATTAGAAATTTATTGAATATTAAATTCTGTTTTTTCTTTTCAATGTTAAAGATTTTTCATCAAGCAGTTCGTTGGAAAAATGAATCAAAATTACAAATTACTCATTTAATAAATTGGAATAATCAAGAAAAAATAAAATATTGGTCAAAAATAGATCAACCACAATTAACAAAAACAAAAGCACTTTTTTCTGTATATGTTAAATTAATAATTTAATCTATTCAATAAATACAAATTTTTCTAGGCATATTATGATCCAAAATGGAATGATATTATTACAGATAATATTGATACAACAAATAAATATGATCCATTAATAGAAAACTTAAAATTACATGATCATGAAGAAGAAAATTTACAAAATGAAATTCAAGTACAGGTAATTATAATTGCTATGTATAATAATTAGCTTTTTTTTTTCTTTTGTTCATAATATATATTTTTACTTGTTACATTTTTCACACGTTTTTACTTTTCATTTTATTCAAAATTAATGTGAGAAGATAGAGAAATAGCAAAAGAAAAAAGAAAGAAGGAACAAGTATGATAGAATAATAAGAAAAGAAAAGAAAAAAGCTAACAGGTAAAAGAGAGGCAGCTCAGATGCATTATAAGAGTTTGATGCGAATAAAGAAGTCATTTTCATTGTTATTGACAACTCATTTTTTCTTTCAATTGTATCTAAACAAAACGAATGTTCGTTTTTTTAAATTAAATGTATATTGTAGAAAGAAAGAAAGAAAGAGAACGTAACAAAACCCCTCTTACCTTCGTTTTTTATTTGGATTCTATTTCACCATATATTTTTCTTTTTTTGATGATCATCATCTTAATAAATTATAATGAAAATGTCGTCCGAAATTCAAAAAAACCTTTTTTTTTTCTTTCGTATTCTGTCAAAAAATTAAATCGATAAGCATATACATATATATATATTGATTTAACTAGAAATATCATGTAACAACGTAATTTAATAATCTATTTTTGTTTTTTGGTTGTCAAAATATTATTTCTTAAACGACTTTGCTGTTAAGAATTGAACAGATGTTTTATAGGAAATATATGAATAGAAGTTTTTTTTTTTGTTTTTTGGATTTTGAAAAACTTCATTTTGTGCGTGTGTGTGTCTGTGTGTCGTAAGAAGACGAGAAAATGGCTTGTGATCTACGTTTTTCAACTATTTTCTTATCTCAATTTCGACGTGTGAATGTAGGTTAATTGTGTTCTATGAATATGATCAATATGATACTGTTTGTTTTAGTCTCCAGCAAATCGACCTAAATGGAATTCTGTAAGTAAAACACGAAGTGTTAATTTAATTTATAATCCAAAAATATCAAATTCGAATTCGGTAAAAATATTAATTGGTATTATTATTTTTGTTTTGTATTATAATGATTTCTTTTGTAAAGATTCGAAGAGGATGGGATCTTGAACTTCGACGAAAACGAGTTCATAAAGTATAATAATTCATTAATATATTTCTTTTTTTTTTTTATTAAATAATTTTTATAGTTACCACCAATTAAACGTAAAAGAGATCATAATAAACTACCCCAATTATCTGTGGAAGGTCCATCATCAAATTATCCATTAGCAATTGATTATAATTATGATCCTTCTTCGACAGCGGTAGTTATTTTTATTTTATTTTTTTTATTGTTCAGGAGTTTAGAAAAAACTAGAAGTTTTGAATGATAATTGATTTAGAATGAACATATGACAAGTATTGATTATGGAACAATATCATCAAGACCATCGACAAAAGCACTTGTTCCATTACGACATATTCCAAATCTTGAAGTAAAATCAAAAATTATCATTGATAAAATATTATAAAATGATATTTATTTTATAGTTATTATCTGAAACACCACGATCTCAACGACCAATTCAACAAGAATGGTATGATGAATTAAATAAATCTCGTTTAACTCATGTAAATAATCATCATTTTTATATAATAATAATTATTTATTATTTTTTGTATATAATTGTAATAGAGAACGGATATGGGACGAATAACAAATAATTCATTTCGAGATTCAATTGGTTCTATTCATCAAACAAATACACCACGTGAACTTTTAACATTAGTTAGTTATAGACAAAAAAAAAGCAGAAATAATTTTCATAAATAATAATTTAAAATATTTGTCCTTTTTTTTGATATTCAGCGTTCATCAACACGAAATAGTCAAAATAGTGTAATGAGTGGTACATTACTTGATTCATCTATTCGAACGAATCGAGCAACAGAACTTCGTTTATCAAGAGATATGGTATATATTATTCTTTTTCTATGTTATAAAATTTTGTTTATAATAAATTTCAGAATGAATATCATCAACATTCACATGATCCAAGTCAATCAATGCCAATGGAAATTCGAGGTTTTCGTCTTGAAGGTACACAATTAACTGTACCTGATGATGCAACAATTCGTCCATTATCAAATATTAATTATCGAGCAAGTGAACATGTAAAACATCGTCGTATATTTCCATGGAGTAGTTTACATCAACATGGAACATCAAGTCGAAATAGTTCACTTTTACCTATTGCAGAATATCGACATCCATCATTTCAAACGTCTATAATAGAAGTTCCACAATTGGTACAAGAAGAATAATACAATTGTAGACTATTTATACAGTTATTTTTCTTTTGATAAAAATCAGATTTATTTATTTTGTTTTTATTGAATTGCAAATAAATGGATATGCTTTATGTGTTTTTTTTTTTGGCTTAATTTAAAATATTCATAAATGTATATATGCCAAGCAAAACAAAATTACTGTACTCTATATTTTAAATATATTGTCACTATAAAAAAAAAAAGAACAAAGAATTATATATTGTAAAAACACACAAAGTTTTCTATTGTACTTTGTATTTATGTTGTAATTTACACTTATATACTATCGAAATAAATTGAATATAATGAAAGTAACCTCTATGTATAGATTCGCACCAGTTTCATTTTTCTAATTATCGTAAAACTTAGGTTTTTAAAATTTTTCATCAATATAGAATAACCGTTTTATATAGAAAAAAACACAGTTTGAAATTCTCTATCATCCTAATATATTGACTTGTTGTCTTGCATTTATTTATTGAAAAATAATTTGAGTGCAGCGAATACATTCTATAAGGTCAAAAAATGAAAAAAGAAATATGACTTTTGTGAATTTAATAGTAAAAACATTAAAAGAAAAAGATATTTCTGATGATGAAAAGAACAAAAAATTTGATGTTTTTTGAAATTCATTGATGAAAAACGATATTTTAATTAAATAAATGTAGTCAATGTCATTTTTAATCAAAATCATACAATGAAATTAATCAAATTATCTATTTTGATTGATGAATTTGAAATATATTAATTTTTTTGTTCGTTTCATCATTTTAATACTATTCTTTTGATTGTTTTACTCTAGAAAATAGTCAAAAATTAGCATTCTTATTGAAATTAATAGTTCAAGGGAAAAATATGTTGTTAAAAGCACTTGTAAATTCTCTATCATTCTGTTTATTTAACATTTATTTGCACATATATCTGTTGCAGTAGATAAATGCAAAACAATAAGTAAATATATAGAATAATAGAGAATTTCAAAATGCATCAGAATATATTATGACTCTTCAGAAAAATTCTTCTATAACAATGAAAACTTAGAAAAAACTTATTTTCATAATAATGACAAAATGAATTCAGCATCTGTTGGATGTTTTCATTTCATTCAATTCATTTTCGTAGTGCATAAGTAGAAATTACAATATAAATACGCAGAATAATAATAAAAAAAGAAACTTTGAGCACTACTAAAATATGCAATTATTTTTTTCCGGACGTATATATATAACTTAATTAGTTTTATAATATATTTCAATGAAGAAATTGTACTGGTTTAGGTGAAAAAAAAAATCATCACATTATAAGTTGAATTAAATAGGTCGCTGTAACTACTTGAAGAATCGAAGCGATATTTTTATTATTTGATATCGTAACGATTCTATTGTGATTAGCGAGATGTAACTCAGCTGAAGTGCAATAATCGAGAATGTGATATTTTGCCTTTTTGATCATGATAGTATTATTTAATAATTTTCAAAATATTCATGCAGATCGAATCTTTCATTCAAGAATCTCAAAAATGAAGTGTTGATTATTAATCAACGACCATTAGAAAATTTCACTCGAAACTCAACTTCATTGGGATCTCAATCTATCGTTTCATACCGCCAGTCATTTATTATGATGAAAAAAAAAATCGAGCAATATGTAAATAAATCAAATACATTTTTACAATAAAAAAATATAGAATTATTTTTTAAAAAACTTGATTAGTTTCAAGGAGGCTTTCGTGAGTAAGAATGCAAATATAAGATCGATGATGGTAGTGGTGGACGCATAAAATTTAATGAATTTCTATGGCTTGATCGTAATGTTACTAACTTGAATTCTTTGCATACTCTAGAGAAATAACAAACGATCTTTCTTCACATCTTTAATTTTTATTATTTACTACTTTTTGAGTTTTGATTTTTAAACCATTTTTCACCTTTTCACGACTTCAATACTTAAGATGTTTCGTGTTTGATTTTCAACAGTGATTACATAACTTAATGAGTCCTCTAATTGGTGAGCTCATTTAAAAAATAGACACACAGTTTTGTGAGCTAAATAAACTTAAAAAATACAATAAGATATGCTATAAAAGAAAATGAAAAGCATACATTTGCTTTTTTTGAAACCAATTTTTTCATAGAAATGCTGAAATTGTTCTCTTACCTTCGACAACCCATAAGACTAAAATTTTTTCTACGATATCTTCGAACAGATTAGGATGCATGTTTTTCTTTTGATTGAAGAATATTGTACCAGTGAATTTCGACAAATATCACAAAAACTGTGTGACGTGAGAAAACATAGTTTTTTTTCACAGAACTTCAAATAATTTGACATTCCTTATCCAACAATTCAATCTTTAGGGAATTGTGATCTGAGAATCATTGATCTAGCAGAAATTTTGCTATACTTATTGAGATCTAATCGTTTTTAAACTTTCAGAATTAGGAGTTTAAGTAATCTTGAAAGTCTCCACAAAGAAGCGTGATAAAGTTTTGTATTAAAATTTTCAACTGTAAATTTCAAGAAAATCTATGACACAAAGATAGACAAGTTCAACGTCAAATTAAAGTAAATTTCGATATTAGTAATTTTTCTAAGGATCTTCTTAGATTAATATTAGCTTCAATAAAACTCGATATGATTTGGAGAGTTTTTATATGAAAAAATGGACCATGTCACAGTTGTGCATCTCTGTATACCTTATTTTTCTGAAGTAAAACATAGCAATAAACATCAGCAAAGTTTACTTAAGATAATCTATATAGTAGGAGCCTAAAGTATAGATGTGTGAATTTGAGCTGGGACGCAGTTGATCAGAATCATCCACACCTATCCTAGTTTACGCATAGCATCAACTCATCTGTGATGATAAACTTATAAATTTCTTTTATTATGATCCATATTTAAATGTAAACTGCAGACAATGAAAAATGTTCCGTTATTTTTTCCATGTACAGCTTTTATGCCGTTTAAACTTTATACTGTGTTCAAGAGTGAATATATCATAAAATGCAGAAAATTTTGTAATTTCTAATATGTTTGAAAATAAATGAAATATGCTGATGAAAAAAAAACAACAAGGGAAACTATGAACCTCTGTTGTAGACTCGCTACTGATCGAATTCGTTTCTACATGAAACAAAACTCATATTGATTGACATAATCTTCTACTAGAGACATCTAGTTAATCGATGTTATCAATTGGTCACGAAGAAGACCATTGTTAATTATTTGTTTATTTGTCTCTTTCTTACGTTCTAATATTCTTTTTTTTCTCTCGCAAATCTAAATTTGACAGAAACAAAAATTATCTGATAATTGTATATTTTCTTGTCATTATAATGAGTGAAATATCATTACGTCGTATAGAATTTGATCGTGAGAATAGACTTTATGAACTATTTATTTCAACAAATGATTTATCTATAATTAAATCAAATTGTCAAAATCAAAATTATGATATTAGTTGGTTAATGGCATTTGGTAGATATCTTAAAACTATTCGTATAAATTCTCATTTAATATGTTCAAATAAACTTCTTTATGAATTTATTCAACATATATTAAATGAAAATATTGAAATAAATCATGGATTATTCTTAATTCTTAAACAATGTATTTATCTCTATCCAGATAAACTTATTAATTTATCATTTCAACATTATTTATCAAATATTTTATTAATAACATTAGATTCTTATCTTAAATATAAATATATTCGTCTACTTTATTTAATAATAAATAAAATTGATGAAAAATTTCTTAATAAAATTTTTCCATTAAAAGAAAATCTTCTTAATAATTATTATCAATATGATATATCAATAATAATTATTTTAGAAAATTTAGTTTTAATTAATTCTGATATTGAATTTCAATTATTAATTAATAAAATATATAATAATAATACATTATATGAATATTTAAAATTAAATGATTTTGATGATGATGAAATTATTGATTTATGTTATATTTTATTTCAAATAAATCTTAAAAAAAATCTTTCTTGTATATTTAATATATCAAATATATTTATTAATTTATTAAAATATATTAATTATGATATAGATACAATGATAAATTGGTTATTAACACCAGAAACTGGTGAAAAATTTTTAATATTTATTCTTCGTTTAATTAAATATTTATCTTTAAATCATAATGAATTAAAATTTCAAGCAGGAGATAATCTTTATAATCAAATAATATTAATAATGAATCAATTTCATCAACAATTAAAAAATTCATATGAAAAATCTTTATTTCCTTATAATATAAAACCATTATTAAATGTATTTAATTTATTCTAGATATGGGACGTATTTTTCTTGAACATCTTGGTGGTCAACGAATATTTTCATGTGCTCATTGTGATACACCTTTAACAAATCGTAACGAATTAGTGTCAACACGATTTACTGGTGCAACTGGTCGAGCTTTTTTATTTAGTCGGATTGTTAATACGAAACAAAGTGCTGTACAAGAACGGGTGAGAACCAAAATATTTTTTTTCTTAATATATTAATTAAAAAAGGATGTCTTTTTTTTTTCGTTTGATTAGTTAATGTTAACTGGTCGACATTTTGTTCGAGATATTAGTTGTAAAAAATGTGATACAAAATTAGGTTGGATGTATGAATTTGCAACTGAAGAATCACAACGATATAAAGAAGGACGAGTGATTCTTGAACGTGCTTTAATTAATGAAACTGTTGGATTTTAAACCAAAAAAAAAAAACTATAACAAAACAAAACTGCATCTTTTTCTGTTTTTGAAAGTTCTACTATTAGTTTGATAAAGTTTTCTGTTTCTTTTCGACTTTTAGATTATATTCGATTGTTAAGAAATGCAATGGTCGCGATTAAAGATAAGTTAAAAATTGAAATTGTTGAACATAATAATGAAGTAAGATCAAAAATTAAATTATCATTGTTTCATGATAAATAATTTTTTTTTTTATTTTAAGGTTTTTCCAATAATTATTCGTGACATTGGA